GTAGGGGCGTAACATTTCCGTCACATGCTTGAGGTATTCAGCCAATCACAACGCACTGGATAGCTGGCCAATCACAGCACACCTCGCTTTTCAGACCGATGAGCTTTGTAAAAATCGACGTGTTTCAGAAAGGCGGGGCATAGAGGAGAAACAATAATGTACAGTATGTGGAAAATAATGTGTTTTTTTAACCTTAAACCACATAAACACATTGCATTTAAAATATTTATAAAAACTATAATAGTATCTCTGATAATAAAATAACACTGCTATCTACAGTATCTGCCATGTTTAAGATGCATGCAAAGCTTCTCTGTAAAAATTATTTTTTAAAGTTGTAGAAAACACAAATATTATTAGAGTTTTGTAAATGTCAGTCTTTCTATTTCAAATTTCACATTTAATTCATTGTGTTACTTGCCATTTCCTTGTAATTATTTGAGAAATTTACTAGCAATTGCTGAGTGAAAATTGTTTCAAAGTAAATTTTACAATTTCTTTTTCCAGTATAATGAGTCTGTGCTTGTTATTCAACACATTTGTTAACCTTTTCCATGTTTTTTTTTTCAGTTTGGTAAAATACTACGCAGTCCTTTTATGAAGTTTGTTGCTCATGCGGCCTCCTTTATCATCTTCCTGTGTCTGCTGGTGTTCAATGCGTCCGATCGGTTTGATGGCATCACCACCCTTCCCAACGTCACCGTCACTGACTACCCGCTCCAGATCTTCAGAGTCAAGACCACACAATTCACCTGGACAGAAATACTGATCATGGTCTGGGTAGCAGGTAATGCACCAACATTTGTAATCAGTATTATTTAATTTATATGATCTCAGTACTGCATGATCTCTTTGTACAACTAGCATTTAGACCAAAAGAGATTTGCTATAGATATTTGATGAGAATTTAATCTCATTACTGTCAAGGAGAAGCTATTGAGAGATTGAAGAGATCTAATTTGTGGTTGTTCTTTCATGTATAAAATTGTCAGTGTTAGTAGTACGGGGCATTTATTCAAGAGACTAAAATGTTTCTTCCCTGCACTGTCAGAAATAGAGTTCCTCACTTCAGGACCAAAGCAGGATGATCAATGAACCTGTCAAACGTTTCGACCTGATGAGACCGATAGAGAGTTTGAGTGGATTAGAGCCAATGTTCTCTGAACTGACTGAAAATAATGTGTTTCCTTAAACACTCATTTCCTTCCAGATCAGTGCTGGGTAGTAACTTTCTGAAAGTAGTGTCATTTGTAACAGTTTTCAGTAGCATTACAGTAGTGTTTCCATTAACAAAATGCTGTTACCAGCAAGTAGTGTGCTAAAATGTTACTGTATATATCACTAATTTTTGTGTCACAGTGTAATGTACAAAAAAAACTGTTTACTAAAATTGTGCAGTATTATTGGAATTTAAAGTAACTGTTTTCTGTTTAAATATATTTTAAAATGTAATTTATTTATGTGATGCAAATCTGGATTTTCAGCATCATTACTCCAGTCCAGTGTCACATGATCCTTCAGAAATCATTCTAATATGCTGATTTGCTGCTCAAGAAATTATCTTATTATCAATGTTGAAAGCACTGATGATGCTTTATTTATTTATTTAGTTAGTTGTTTTTGGAAACAGTAATACCTGAACTAGTTTGTAGCTTATCTCTGAGGACATTTCAAGGCACTCACTTGAAAAAAAAACACAAAACAAGCAAACAAACACTGTTGTTCAGCATATTATTCTTGAGTCATTTAAAATGAGGCATGTTCATTCATCTCTGTCGCATTTAGAAAGGCTCTAGTAATGAAAGGCTTTTTGCAGGCAATGCATCACTGAGAGGGTGAACCGCAGGTTAGATTGGGTTTAGAACATTTTCCCATTTTGTTTGTGGTTCAGAGAGTTCACCCACGCTGAGTTCACCTCATTACATTTGGTGTAAGAAAATGTTTCGCTGTTTCAGCCAGGACAAGATGCTGGGGTAACGCATTAGATGATGGAAACTGATACATGTTGCATGCCATGTGATGTTTGCATCTGTTATTTTTCATTTTAAGAGGTGATTAAGAGTTTTTATTTTGTTTTGGGTTTTTTTGTATTATTTTCATCCTCTACGTTTGAAATTGAGTTGAACATTGAGTCAGCGTCACCAAATATGATGTGCTATTCCTGCAATGTCTCTTAATAATTCATGACACCATGTGACTTTTCCTGAGTGTTTGCTTGCATGGTGCAAAAAGCCAAAAGTGTTGCTTGGCTTCCACCTGGATAGTGACAGATTGACGGGTTTTCAGTCAGTGGCAACACCTTTGAAAATATTAGAGTGTAAAAGCCATCCTTACTGTGCTTGTGTTAACCGATCAAACCTGCTCTGACTGTGGAAGTGACCGTGCGTGTCCATTAGTAGTTAGTCCATTAGTAGTGTGACTTTTTTTTAAAACAAGTACACACTACAAGCCTTGAGTCATGTGGTGTGCGCTAAGCAGTGTTGGGGAAAGTTACTTTTAAAAGTAATGCATTACAATATTGCATTACTCCATAAAAAAAGAAACTA